CAATCAAACTGACCCATGTACATTTGAAAAAAACACCTATAGTGTTGCAAAAACGACTTTTACCAAAATATCACTACTGTAAAACACTTTTTTTTTCATTTATTTGGAACAAATTGTATCTACTTTGCAGTGTTTTGCTACCAAAGTATGCACTGACCTGATGCATCTCAGTAATCCAGGTAAAAAAATCAAAAAGAAAAAAATTGTATAGGTCTTCTGGACGGGTTGTTCTCTAATGAAACGTTTCGTCTCTCTTCCAAGAGACTTCTTCAACTTCTTCAGTCTGAGAACCCTCAGACTGAAGAAGTCTCTTGGAAGAGAGACGAAACGTTTCATTAGAGAAGAACCCGTCCAGAAGACCTATACAATTTTTTTCTTTTTGATTTTTTTACCTGGATTACTGAGATGCATCAGGAAAAATTAAAGTCTTTGGTACAACATTATCAGTCTATTTATTTGTTTAAATTTTGTTTTCCAGCCAAAAATTCCTATTATTTAATCTTTAAAAAGGAACCAGTTTAATTACAAATGTGTTGGAGTGGAAAATAATTATAGCATCATCTAAATTAAACAAAAAGAGAGAACATTAATTGTTGGTTATTTAAACAAGATTTAAATGAATGTGTGTGTGTGTGTGTGGGGGGGTAGATTTAATTTAACCACTAGATGGCAGCATCTCCCTGCAAACACATGAAAGAAACAGATTAACAAGGATGGAAAGAAGCCTGCCTGCAGAAAAAAAAAAATCATCCAACTGTCCAAGTTGCAGTTTATCTTAAGACTGATGGGTTTATTTCCTAACTCTTGTCCAAATCTTTGCAGAATTTCTATGGTTATGGATARTTTTCCTGCCCAGTTAAAGCAGCTGTGGACAACAGTCAACGTTTCTCGTTTTGCAAACATTTAAAAACAACTGGAGTGGAAAGACAAGAGGGAAAAGAGAGCAAGGAAACTGGTAAATTGGAAAATGCAGGACCTTTTTTTGTAAAATATCTCAAGAGAAGTCAAGAAAAATGGAAGAAATCTGGGAGAAATAGAAATTTACTGGTATAGAAGTCTCTTCTAAATCTTCTTTCCTTTCTCACCCCTTTAGCTAAAATAGGGAGACAGTACATGAAATTAAATAAACAATGAGTGAATGGACTGCTGGTGCAGAGAGACAGCTGAACCATGAACAAATTTTCTGACAATTAGATCATCCTTTTATAAATCAGCAAARCAATGCAACAAAAAAAGAGGACATGTCAATCTTGGTATAGTAAAGTCACAGCCGAAGAAGGCGCTTATTTGTTTTAAAGCTAAACCTGTCAAATTTCTATGCAAATTCCTTTCAAATCCTCTCAGTTGTGACGTAAACAACAGCTGGACTTTACTATAAAACACAAAGTAATTTGTATGTACATGCAAAAATGTACATGCAAAATACTAAACACAGAGCAACAACAACAAAAAAAAAAAGGCAACGAATCAAGTTGCAGCTCAATAAAAAACTAAATGCTTCTTTTGTGGTTGGAGAAGACAATGCTGTCACCTACCTGCACTATATCCTCCCTGCTCTTCCTGACCATAACTGTGAGAAGGACGCGTTGGTCCGTAGGCAGAGGGGTCCTGAGGGTAGTTACCCAAGCCTATCAGGGAGATGAGGAGACCAGGTTGACTGAACCCAGATTGTGCTGGCCCACTACTTTATACTTTTCTAACTTACGTGGCAGAGCTGCTACATTTGCGCTCATTAACCGGATCTGCACGTTTACTCACAATACTTTTCAGATTCATCTGGAAGTTAGAACGCCTCGTGCTGAGTTTTCCATCATGCCAGCCTGGTCTCGAGGAATTTGTACAAACTTCTAGTACATGCTAACATGCTAAAAGATGTACTTTTCCCATAAAAAAAAAAAAGGGTAAAAGAGATCAACTTAAGGCAGAAACTAATACCAGTGGTTTTGTATGGGGTCATCTTTGTTTAAAAAAAAAACTTTTACAGCTAATAGAGAAATGYACAAAATTAATCTTTGAGCATGTTTTTCTTCACTTTTGGGGGCTTATTTTAAAAAAAAAATGTTTCTGCATCTGTTTTGCTGTGTTACAGCATGTTGGTGTCACTATTTTCTGGGGGAGGGGACATCCATCCATTCATCCATCCATCCATCCATCCATCCATCCATCCATCCA